ATTTATATCTAACAGTTGTACATTAGTAGATTTGTATAGGTTTTGATAATAATCCAAAAAAGATTTTTTAATTAATTCCTTCTGAGAAACTAGTTTACCCTTATAATTTATTTTCTCTATTATTCTCTGTCTCTGTTTCTTTCTTAATTGATAAGCCAACCATCTCCCCGGCTTATTAGCATTACAAAATGTATTTTGTTTCATAAATAATAAATTGGTTGCAGCTTGATCTGCTATCAACATATTAAATTGTGACCTTAATAACTTTACAGATTCTTTAGTACTTTCATCAGAAGGATTTAGAATCAAAGCCCTTTCTTTTAGTTTAATTTCATCTTCAAGTTCTCTACGTTTCTGAATCTGATTTCGCTTATAAAAATTATTCATTTTTATCAAAACACCGCGCATAAATGCTTTACCTGCATCCCATACCATTGACATTGAAGTCCCCTTGTACATATTCAAAGCAAAATAGTCCTTTAAACACTCCTTTAGTTTTTGAACATTCTTCTCTTGTCTAAACAAATTTTCATTAACTCTCCAGGATCTTCTTTCCTCTTTCTCTTGAATCAACTCCATCCAAACTGGACTATGATCCGTCAGTGATCTAGGAAAAATCTTTACATTCTTTACTTTATTATACAAATCCGTGGTAATCAAGAAAAAGTCAATTCTTGAAAAAGATTGGTGTCTGTCAGAAAAAAAAGTAAAGTCTCTCTCCTCTTGATTACGTTCCCGCCAATAGTCCCTTAATTCCCAGTCTTCTTTCATATCAAAAAAGGCTTTAGGTAGCCTTGCTTGTTTAAGAAAAGGAGAGGAACCTTTCTTATCCCTTTGTGTGTCTAAGACACCATTCCAATCACCCATTAATACCACTGATCTATAATCAAGCAAAGTTATTTTTTGGTGTAACTGTTTATAAAATTGTTCCTGTTGTTGATTTGGAGCATAAAGTCCAACTATAAGTACTTTCTTACCATAAATACCAAGTTCAATCATCACATATCTCCCCTGGGGATCTGATTCTACCAGACAAGCTGGCAGGTTTTGTTTGACATATATAACAACTCCCCCTTTCTTCCCAGGTGCAGGAGATATAAAATGAGATCCCAAACGAGCATTAACTAAATATTTCTGATCTTTAAGTAGAATATGAGTTTCCTGTAAACAAATAACATCATTGGTATGTTGCTTCAAATAATAAAAGATTTTTTTCCGTTTCTGAGGAGAATTCAATCCATTAACATTCCAGGTCAAAAACTTTGCCATCTCCCTTGGCACGCAGCCTGGAGAAGACACCATCAAACTCTGACAGAGCTGCATGTGTTGCATAACTCTTGGGTCTTGCTCCTCCCACCGGCGGTGATGGACTTCCAGGAGAATTCTCTTTGGGCTCTTTTTTACGTTGCTCTTTCTCTTTACGCTTATAAGCTGCACGAGTCATCCTCTGCTCTTTAGCCTCCGTTTGGCGTTGCTTTGCCACTTCTATCATCCCTGCGGAAACCAAATCTAATGCCTCAGATTGCTGCTCAGGTTCCTTAACACACACTCTTGAATTTTGAAAATCTGTTAACACAATGTCAAAAGGCCTTAACTTGGCCTGAGTTCCACTACCGGAACAAATCTTCCTAAATGTATGCAAGGAGATAATTGAAAAGGCAGACCCTGTGTCTAGTTCCATAGATAATGGAACCCCTTGTAGCTTCACCTTGAGTGACAGCTTTTTCTTAATGGGCTTGTGTGTGCCTGTCCTAAGGATGCTTCTTCGCGAAGCGCAAAACCTACCCTATTCTGGCTGGGGAATCTGGTACCTTTCAGGCGCAGTTCTTCCTGAGGTTGTACCTTTCGTCGGCCCAGACACACAGCTGCAATGTGTCCTTGTTTGCCGCATGCCCGGCAGGTAGCGGAGCGGAACTTGCAGTCGGTTCTCCTGTGGCGACCTCCACAGCCGATGCACTTGAGCGGAGCTGAAGAGCTTCCCTTCTGTTTTTCTTCCGTCGTGGGGTGGAGACGGTCGACTTCCTCGTCCGGATCCTCCTCGGAGTTTCTTTGGGCGTCTTCCTGGTGCACGGATGCAACCTCTGGACTGTTTCTGATCGGCCGCATGTTCTTGACAGCGCCGCCTGCTGCTTCTTCTGCGGTGACTTCCCTTAAGCCATCTTGGTAGGACAATTCTTCTTTAGTGAAAAGTCTCTGTTGTAGATCTCGATGCCTTAACCCGCACACGAATCGGTCCCTCAGTCGTTCTTCGAGGTCTTTGAACTCGCAGTGCTTGGCGGCCTTCCGTAATGCGGCGATGAATTCTTTGGCCGACTCACCAGGCCGTTGATCGCTCTGCTCGAAGGTGTGGCGCCATGCGATGACGGACATCTTGGGGTGGAAGTGCTCCTTCAGTAGCTTCTTCAGATCTGCGTAGCTGACAGACTCTACTGGAACAGGTGCTGCAAGGTTTTCTGCGATGTCGAAGGCGTCTTGACTGCAAACACAAAGCAGGGTGGCAGCCTTCAAGCTCTCTTCCCTCACTTGGTTTGCCTTGAAGTAGTTCTCCATCCTGGCTACGTATGACTCCCACCGCTCTGGATGTGAGACGTCGAATTCTGAAAGCCTTCCGATTTTCGCCATCTTCAGGAGACGGGTCTATCAGCCAGCCTACCCCCGAATGCGCACTGGATTGGCGGGTAGCTGCCGAGTCGACGCCGTTCCGCCGCTCAGGACTCACTTGGGTAAGCTTACACTTCTTCCTTTCCAGGCGGTGTAAGGCATCCCATCCTCATCGCCAGTGTTGAGTCCTTGGCGGGAAGCAGACACGAGAAGCAGTTGAAGTTCTCAGTTTCCTTTATTCTGCGTTCAGCTTACAAGTAAATGGCTTCAGCAGCTCCCAAAACCTCCCAGCTTCTTATATAGACGCTTCCCGGGTAAATGTGATACTTTTCCCGCGCCAGCACCCGCGCATGCGCACGGCGCTGGCGACAGCCTGTCTGGTCCCGGGCAGCTTTGCACCTGCCCGGGACTGCCTGCAAACGCCCGAGCCGTTTGCAAGGCTCGGGACATAACACTTTCCTTCATCTGATTGTAGCCAATGAGCATGAGTGTTTAGAGAGACAATCAGGTGTCATCTTGTTTTGGCAATGAGCCAATCAGATTACAGTAGGATTCAGGTATTGATGTCATGTATTGAAGCTGAGAGGAGGACATTTGTCAGTGTGTTATGTGATCGCTATCAAGTTGATTGGATTTTTTTTCCCTTTCATTTAGTGAGCTTGTAAAACGTAATAAAATTAAAGTAATGGTGCAAAGAGTTGACTGGTTGCCCAAAAAGGGATGTAAAATAGTATTGTTAAGTGAACAAGGCTACAGTTATAAAGAAATTAAAAGAAAAATTGGTGGAAACTTAACCAAAGGTGGCATTTCTTCTGCACACTTTTCCCAAAAGGTTTCCACAATTTTGGCCACTACTGTATATGAGCACAAACTGTTTTCCTTTATTCAAGTTGGATCATAGTACTGATAAAAGAGACCATGTGCCCATGCACAATTCTTAGTAAAGATTTCAACACTTTTTGAAAAAGTTGCATATAAAAACTAGAAAGGCATGTCATGTCACAAGGAAGGGAACAAATAGGTCACCCAGATTTGCACAGATGTTGTTGGGAAAGCTAAAGCTGAGAATCAGCTGAAGTTAGGGAAAGATGCTAAGAACAAGAAAAGGCTACTTGTCATCATTATGTCCAAAGAAAAAACAATAATTTGTAAATGAGCTATGAGAATTAGACATTTCATTCTTTGGCCTAGTCTTTCCTGAGAAGCAGATAAGTACTCCATGGGACACTAACATAGTCAGGGAACACTTATTGGCTTTAAAGGAATCTTTAAACCAAATCTTTTGGCCTAGATGATTCCTAGAGCACTGAAAGAACTTGCTGATGATCTGGTCAAATCATTATCTTTCAAATATTTTAGGGAATGTGAAATAGCAAATGATAAGAAATACTTGAAGCTTACTTATTTGCAATAGTATTAATTCACAGTATTCGTGTACCGCCCCAATTATGAGAGTCTGTTACTACTCACCACTATAAGTTAGCATGGATCAGACTAAGCTTTACTTTCTATTAACTTCTTTCATAGATTATGGAAATGCTATAGATACAACATTCTATAATCAAAATTTCATCAATGCATTTGACAAAGTATCTATGACAGCAGGTTGGATGATTGTGGTTGAGTGACATGTCAGTTAGGACAGGGGTCTCCAACCTCCGGTCCGTGGACAAGTACCGGGCCACGTCATGCCAGCAACCAGTCTGCACAAACAAGCAAAGCCCCATCTGTGGGATGCAGGCAGCACACAAAACCACGCACCCTTCGGTCTGTGGAAAAACCTCTCTCCACGGAACTGGTCCCTGGTGCCCAAAAGGTTGGGGACCTCTGAGTTAGGATATATAGTGATCCGAAAATCATATTCAGGTGCTCATTTAATCATGATTTTTTGTGAAACTAAAGTGAGATACTGAATTCAGTGCTGAAAACTTCAGCCTGGGTCTGACACAATGCAAACTTTTTTTATTAATGTCTTTGATGATGGGGTACAGGGAATGCTCTTCAGATCTGCATATGACCCAAAATTAGCTGAAATAGCTGATGCCTAGCCTAGAAGATACAGATAAAATTGAACATGGATGTAGTAGCTTAGAGAAATGGAACAAAAGGACAGAAATAAATGGAGACAACGAAAAGTCCTTCATGCATCTCACAAATAAGATGTGAGATGCATAGCTTGCTAACAGTACCTATGAAAAAGATTTTGCAAGAGTAGCTGAGTGAAAATTAAATTTGGCTCAGCAGTATGACATCGCTACAAAAAAAAAATGCAGTTCTAGATATCATTAAAAGCATTGTTCCCAAATCAGAGAAAGTAATGTATTTGACAAAAGGGATATTACTCTTTGTTTTTTATTTCTTCACTTATCCTTGTTTTTTCTCCCTCTCTGCCTCACCAGATTCTGGGCCATTTCCAGGACTGATTGACCTATTTGGTGGAGCTGGAGGACTAATCGAATTTCGAGCTGGCTTATTGGCTAGTAAAGGCTTTGCAGTTCTGGCTTTGGCTTACTTTGCATATGATGATTTACCACAGACTCTGGAAGTAGTAGATCTGGAGTATTTTGAGGAAGCATGCAGACTGCTCTTGAAAAATCCTAAGGTGTGCATGAGATTATATCTTTTCTTAAACTTCTTGTTGACACTCAGGAAGATCCTAGAGTTTATTCTCTATTTGTTATGCAGAATACTTCATACAAACTAGCATGCTATGCATCTGCCAGATATGCAAGCTAAAGGGATTTGGGGCCTGACAAAGCACAGCACAGCACAGATCAGTAGCATCGTTCCTGAGGGCAGAAGGATGAGAGTAGCGCTGCATTGCCACCTTTTGTATGTGCGTTGTGATACATTGCTGACCCCTCAATGCTGCAATGCTCTTTTGTCATTTTGTGGACACACCCATTACAGTATATCCACCCTCTCAGTTTTCATTAAAGCATACAATTTTTTTTCTTAGGCTTCTTTATGTGTAGCTGAAAAACATGCAAAAATATGCAATTAAGAGTCATGCTTAAAAGTGCACTGCTTTAATAAAAGCAGCAACATTTTTTTCAGGCTTCCTTCCTTCCTTCTGTCTATCACATCTCTTGTCTTGTATTGGCTGGCTGGCAGAAAGAGAAGGTGACAAAGTTCATTTTTGAATGTGTAGATCTGCAATAATATAGCATGTGCATTAGTATGTCATTTTTTATAACTTTGATATCACTCCTCATTGCTTTAAGGAAGAAACTGATTGAAACTTTTGTATGTCTCTCTGTATTTGTTCCTCCAGGTAAGAGGTCCAGGACTTGGAATTATTGGTTTATCCAAAGGAGCAGAAATTGCATTGGCCATGAGTACTTTCTTAAAGGAAGTAGTGGCTTCAGTGTGCATCAATGGTCCAACAATATTGAGTACACCACTTCACTTTCATGATGTCAGTATCCCTGGAGCTTCCTACTCAAGTGAGAAGCTTCTCATTAATGAAATGGAATTGGCAACCATTTACTATTACTTGGGACATCCTCTGGATGAAAAATATGAAGTGTCTACCATTCCTGTGGAAAAGGCCCAAGGGCACGTCCTCTTTGTGGTGGGGGAAGCTGACCAAAGCTTCAATAGCAGGGTGTTTGCTGAAGCAGCCCTGGCTCGAGAGAAGAAACATGGGAAAAATCATTGTAGCCTGTTGTTTTATCCAGGGGCTGGACATCTGATAGAACCCCCTGGATCTCCAGTTTGCTTTGCCTACCCACTTCGGTTTTCTCCCTTGCCGATCCAATGGGGAGGGGAAGTGAAGCCTCATGCTAAAGCCCAGGAGCACTCCTGGAATGAGATCCTGAATTTTTTAAAGTTTCATCTTGGGCCACTTCAGAATAGCAATTTATGATAAAAGAAAGGCCAGATTGTTTAGCTTCCTTTTTTGGTTCACAAATCATCATACAACATAATGTGATTTGCTTGGATTTGTCTTAATGTGATGTGGGAACTCATTGTCAGCCCCAAGGAACCAAGAAGGACACAAGGAGCTACTTCAGAGTATTTAGAGTGTTCCACTATCTGGTCAGAACCAGTAATGGGATTCAGCCAGTTCGCAACACTTCAGCAGAACCGTTAGCTAATTTTTTGTTGCCCAGGCCCAGAATGGACTTCCGGAAGCGGCACCCACACAGAGAACTGGTTGTTCACGTATTTGAATCCCACCACTGGTCAGAACCTATCCTTCCATCCCGTCCCACCCCCATCCCCTGCCATCACAATTGATGACATTTCTTGGATGAGAAACAAAACGTTTTGGTCCTTCTTCCTCAAGGAAAAAACAGTCCAACTGCTTTTTGAAAAAGCACCTTTGAGACAACTATGACCTGGATGACTGAGAATCTCTACAGGCATTGAGCTATTTCAGAGTGCTTTCTTTACTATTGTTCACTGTTGTTTCTGTCAATAGACAGACATCTTTCCAGATTACAGCACTTCTCTGTGTGACTATTAGATTTATCCTGTGTGAACTACTAGGGAGAGTCTGCCTTTGCCCTTTTCCTACATACTAAAGATTCAAACATCTTGTCTCTTTGCTCTCTCCTGCTATTCTGGACTACATCCTACCATCCTCAGACTAGATGAGAATATCCTTATGACATTTCATGGATTCTGTAAAGTACATATCAGAAATATAACTTTGTAGTAAAGGGCAGGTTTCTATTTGTCGTGTGCTTCCATAAGATGGATTGGTATTTCAATCAACTATAAAGTGCTTAACTATAAAATGAAATCAGTAATGTTTTTTTTTCCTATTCCTATTCCCAAAGAAATCTTCAACTATCGCTAGGCTAGCCCACTTACTATATAAATAACAAAAAAGGCTTCTCAAACAAAACCAAAGTTAACTGTTCATATCTTATATTAAATTACAAAAAAAAAAAAAAATCCCTCTGTGAAGCAATGAGGGTTAGCTCTATCACTCCCCTGGTGTCCCACAAAACTAAGTCAGTGGCTGCTTGACTCTGCTCATTAATAGTCTAGGGAAGTATAGTCTAATAATGGAAAACATAATACAGTTTAGCTGTTACTGGCTTGCTAGAGCAGTATCTTTTTTTCACCAGTTGGCAGCAGTGAGAATCAGAAGAGAGAAGCAACTTTGTTTGGGTGGGTGAGAAAGATCTGATTTAGCCCACTGCTAGTGAGTGAAGCGGAGTCAAATATCCTGGTTAAAGGCAGATTGGGAACTTCAGGGAGGTCTTGCTGAGCGCACTTCAAGACTGGACAGTGCTATGGACAATGCCAGAGACACCACAGGGCTAAACTGACCAGATTCGGACTGAGAGAAGTATGCCCATCTGATTGTAAACTCTTGAATATTCATTGATAATTGCCCAATCATATTAAGCGGAAACACTAAAAGGGATTAAACCCACAAGTAAGACACTGTTAACTTCACAAGAGGTCTCAGGTAGTCTTATTTATGACTACACAAGACAGGAGGATTTTGGTGGCAGGAAAGACATCATATTAAGTGCCATATTTTAAAACCAAACACTGGACAAGTTTATATTTTTCCCAGGAGAATTCCATCACATCCTTTGACAAATTCATTCTCTGTATTTAGGCTTTTGTGATAAATGTTTGGATCAGGATTAAGTATTTCCATTTTCCCTGGGTTATGTTTGCATGACCACTTTTCAAGCTTCCGTGAATTATTTTTAACCTTGTCTATTACATTTCTCTCCTTATCCACCCAGGTAAGAGGTCCAAGAGCTGGAGTCATTGGCTTGTCCAAAGGAGCTGAAATTGCATTAGCCATGGGAACCTTCTTAGAAGAAATAGCAGCTGCAGTGTGCATCAATGGTCCCACAAGTATGAATGGTGCACCCCTCCATTTTCGCGATATCAACATCCCTGCTGTTCCCTACTCGGCAGAGGCAGTTTTCATCAATGAAATAGGATTAAAGTCCAGTTTCAATGTCATGGGAGATCCTCTAGATTCAGTTCATGAAGTCTCTGCCATTCCTGTGGAAAAAGCCCAGGGTCACATTCTCCTTGTGGTAGGAGAAGCTGACCAAGGCGTGAACAGTAAGATGTTTGCTGAAGCAGCTTTGAGCCGCGCAAAGAAGTATGGGAAAACTAACTGTAGGTTATTATCTTACCCTAAGGCTGGACATATGATAGAACCACCTGGATCCCCAACTTGCTTCGTCTCTTCTATCCTGGGTAGTTCTATACCCACAATATGGGGAGGGGAGATGAAGTCTCATGCCAAAGCTGAGGAACATTTCTGGAAAGAGGTCCTGAAATTTTTTGAGCTCCATCTTAGCCCAGCTAAGAAGGAAGTGCAGGTTGCATAGGTTCTTTATGAAATAAACCCTACTCACAAGATAGAAATTGGGTTCTCATAATGCATGTTTCATAAAGATAATTAGATAGTAAGAATCATATATGATGATAAGACTCTGGAAATGCAAAAAAGATTAGTGTTGTTGTCTTGTTTGGTCTATTGTGACTTTCAGAGTACGTCTATAATTTCTCTTTCAAATAAAATAATGAGTTAATGATAAATATGTTGACTTTGAAATGAATCCTTTGTATACAAAAATCTCCATAAATTCTCAGTGTGTTGCATCCATTGTTGTAAACAGCTTGTTTCATAAGCAGCTATCATCTGTAGGATTCCTAATTAATCTCAGGGTGGAACATAGTTAAACCATGCTCGGTTCTATTAGGATATTGACACATGCATTATAATCAGCTTTTGCACCAGACAAATCTCATGCAGGCTTGAGAATCATGTACATGGATGTGATGCATTGAAAGAGGGAATAAGGGAGGAATGATTGATGTCATCTTTATGATGTAATGGCTCTGTTGTCTGATTTTCATTGGCTAACAAAGTTTATAAAGCAATGCTACCAACTTTCTAAAGTGTGGCACTTCTGGACGTAACTCTGCATTCGAGATTGTTGGCCATCCAGCTGCTTGATTTGATCAAATAAAGTGCTGCTTGATCAAGAAGTCTCCACTTGGGTTATCTGATTAGATTGACATGGTATCTCAAGTTCAAGTAAGGGACTGGGACCTTACATTTCAATACCCCAACCCCTTCCCCCCTCCTCCCAATAAACCACATTATGGCTTAATGGGATCCTTAAATCTAATCACAGATAGGAAAAGTAATAACCACCATCACCACCACTGCATCCGCCATCAGCATTGCCATCTCCAGTTGCTCCTCCACTTGCTCAAGGCTGAAAGCAGAGGGCTAAGTAGTATATAGGTAGTCCTCAACTTACAACTATTCGTTTAGTGACTATTTCAAATTAAAACAGCAATGAAAAAAGGGACTTATGACAGTTTTTCAGACTTACGAACATTGTAGCACCTCCATAGTCATGTGATCAAAATTCAGACACTTGGCAACTGGCATGTATTTATGGTGGTTGGGGTGTCCTGGGGTCATGTGATCACCTTCTGATAAGCAAAATAAATGGAAAAGCCATTTTCCCTTAACAACCGTGTTACTGCAATGATTTACCTAACAACAATGGGGAGGAAGGTCATAAAATGGGGCAAAACTCACTTAACTGCTATCTTGTTTAGCAGCAGAAATTTTGTTGTAGTCAATTATAATTGTAAGTCGAGGAGTACCTCTAATGCAGGGGTGTCAAACTCAATTTCATTGAGGGCCGCATCAGCAGTGGTTGCCCTCGTGATGTCCAGGGTGGGTGTGGCCTACTGGATGGGTGTGGCCTACTACATGGGTGTGGCCTACTACATCGTTCGCGTCAAGAGTGCCTGTGGGGGCCTGGGCAGGAGTGGGACAGATCTGAGGGTCTCTGGCAGAAGGGGGTGGGACCAGGGCAAGCGCCAAGGCATGGTCCATTTCTTCATTCCTCACAAAGGGTGACACCTCCCCAGCATGCACCCAGGGGGTGGGGCTGACGCAGCAGGGGTTGGTTCCTTGCTGTTTCCAGACGGCCTTGTGGAGCTAAGACTGAATGCATTTCAGCATAGATGGCCACCACAAAATTGTACATTGGCTCTTGGCTGGCCTGGGCCAGGGCCAAGGCAGCGGGGGCCGTTCCCTCACTGTTTCCAGGATGGCTTCGCGGGCCGCATCTGGCCCCCGGGCCTTGTGTTTGACATGTCTACTCTAGGTCAAAACCCTGCCTGAAAGTTTTTGTCATTTTTAAAACAATATTAGACTAGCTTATATCTTTGCATTGATATTTTTTTGCTTCTGTACAGAAAACAAAAATGTAATGGTGTAGACAAAGGGGGTTTCCAAGAATAAAGGCCTCTCTCTGCTGTAATTGAAGCTGAAGCACATTCCAAAGATAGGTAAACATCCCCATGCAACATCAATGGCAGCAAAGATACGACAAAAGTGTGGTTTGCCATCCGCTTCGGGTGATGTAGTTCGGAAGCTGTTTTGAAAGACATAAAAAATGGATGAGCTGGAAAATATGGGAAAGCAAGAGTTGCTTTACTACCAGACATTTTTGCCCCCTAAATAGATGCTGCTCTTCTCTTCCCATTGTTGCATTTATGCAGATGATCTCAGGGCACGTTTATAAATCTGCAACTCATATAACTCACATGAGTTATAACCAGCAATAATTCACTATGTTTTTATTTCTCGGAAATCACTTAATAAATCCCAGAAAAGTTTTCTAGAATCTCTCTTCCATGCTTCATTTAATATAGCCAGTACTTTTAGTTTCATCCCTCCTCTTGAAGTAATATTGAAGCATTAGCAATAAGCTTAGAGGATATTACACAGGAATCTATTTAAAATAAGAGATTGTCTCTTTGCACATGCAGTATTAGTGTAAGGGCATAGTTTTTAAAAGAGGATCCATAAAATAAAAGAGGGAACAAAGCATAATTTTGATATAAAAAATGGGTTTCTTGCATTCATAAATGTAGCAATGTAAAGATAGCTAACATCTACATAAAAATTGAATTACTGGAAGTAATCACTAAATGGCCGATTTTCTGTCTAGTCAGTGAAGAAATGAAATATCAAGAGACTCTTTATAAGCTACTGTGTATAGCTTTATTTATATATTTTCTGTACAAATTTAGAGCTTGTCATCATGCTTTTTTTCTTCCAGAGCACTAGCACAGCAATAAATAGGATAATCCCAATGATAGGTAGTACCACCAAAAGCACCAGAGTCAGGTCTTCACTGGAGATCACATCTGTGGATAAGAGAAAACAGTTTGTAATTCACTCATTGTCATTTCACAAAGCAGTTGCCACTTGACCAGGCTACTGAAAAAACATTTTTCTTGCTATGTTATGATTATTCTGTAGGGGCCACAGAAATAGCACTGCATAAACTATAATGATGTCCAAATAGACAGTGGTTTGAGATCCAAATTATTAGCAAATTCTATCAGCATTACCCAATTTGAGGTAAAAAGACTGAGGGGAAGGGGATGCTTACAGCTTGGATTTTTCTGTAATAATAATGTAACAGCTTCAGGACTGTCAGCTGGTGCCCATTTACCAATATTCACTTATGAATATTCCTATTTAAGTGGCTATGCATATCAAGCATTCACTTTATAAAGGAATGTAGTAACCTGAGGTTAGTGTTTTAAGGAAAATATCGAGTATGCTAAATATATTATTTTAATTCCTGGCTCCTCATTATTGCAGTTACTTACCACTCTCCCACTTGACTTGTTTCTCATGAATACTCTCTTGAAAAATTACAGCTCCATAAGTGCTTACTAAGTCCAAGGATTCTGTCTCATTCTCCTCCTTCAAAAATCGACGGCCTCCTAAGATTTAGGGGACAAGATCTCCAGTAAGATACATAGAAATGATAAATTCCCAGCAGGTTGCAATATATTTCCATTTAATTACAAAAGGGGAAAGTTCTAAAAAAAAAAAGGGGGGGGGGATTGTTGAAGAAAAAAATTGAAAGGAAGAATTTAAAAGACAATTTTCCTCAGCTCAATCCACCTCACAGAGTTGTTACTGGGGAAAAAAGAGGAGGCAGGGGCATTAGGTATGTTTGCTGCCTTGAGTTATTTATATAAAAAAAATAATAAAGGTGGGATGTAAATAATTTTTTTAAAGAAATATTATCAATTAAACATACAAATGACATTTTTTTTAAAAAAACGAATCCATGGGAGAATCAGGAAATTATAACATAGTAAGCTTAATATCAGGCAAAGTGGTGAAAACACTATTCAATGAAAAAGTATTAATTGAGGCACACAGAGGCATAAGCCCTACTAAAGAAAAATCTGCACGGATCTTACAGTGGTAAATATTGCTTTACCAATATTTGATTTTTTTTAAAAAAAAAATAACCTCCAAGTGAATGAAAATAACCGTGCTTGTGTTCAATATTTGGATTTTCTAAAAGCCTTTGGCAAAACTGGTAATGAAAATACAATTTAGTGGCAATGAGATCAAAGGCTTTGTTCTCGTACACATTGCTAACAGGCAAAACAAAAAACTAATTAGTAATGTGCTGAGTGGAGAGAAAGAAGTAGAATTCCTCAATAATTTGTTTCAGAACCAGAGCTTTTTTTAACTTAAAATGCACCTAATCAATGTTGGAAGAGCTCTTAAAACTTTAGCTAGTCCAACTCGTCCTTCAGTGGAGGAACTGCTAAACATTTTGGACATGTGGCTATCTATCTTCTATTTGAAAACCTTCAGTAAAGAGCAATATGTCACATCACGTGGAAACATTCCATTGGTTTGGAATCATGATCACCATCACGAAATTCCTCTTAATATTTAACAACCTGTAACTGTGGTGCTGGAGAAGACTCCTGCGAGTCCCTTGGACTGCAAGGCGTTCAAACCGGTCGGTCCTAGAAGAGATCAACCCCGACTGCTCTTTAGAAGGCCAGATCCTGAAGTTGAAACTCAAGTACTTTGGCCACCTAATGAGAAGGAAGGATTCACTGGAGAATAGCCTAATGCTGGGAAAGATTGAGGGCAATAGAAGAAGGGGACGACAGAGAATGAGATGGCTGGATGGAGTCACTGAAGCAGTAGGTGTGAATTTAAAGGGACTCCAGAAGATGGTAGAGGACAGGAAGACCTGGAGGAATGTTGTCCATGGGGTCGCGATGGGTCGGACACGACTTCGCAATTAACAACAACAACAACAACAATCTATGTCCTTCTGATTCTTGCACTGCCCTCTGCCTCTGGGGTGAAAGAGAACAAGCTTATCCTCCACTATATGACTACCTTTGATATATCTGAGAACTGCTACCATGCCTCGTCTCAGTCCTCTCTTCTACAGGCAAAACGTACTACCTCTCTAACTATTACTCATGAGACTGTTTTTGTCAATCCCCTTGCCATCTTACAGTCATCCTCTGAACTTGTTCCAATGTATCAATGTCTTATTCTATACTAATGTCCAGAGGTGCACACGGTATTCCAAGTGGGGTTTGATCAAGGCAGAATAGAATGGGACAATTGCTTCTTATGGTCTTCCTCGCTCATACAAAATTTTGAGCGAGGCTAAGCAGTGAACTAGTTGGGTTTATGAGCAATACTAAACTATTGAAAATGATTTTAAAAGCCTTTCCTTAAACTAGATCATGTTCGATTTCTTCATGCATTCAAGATATATTTATGTTACCATAGCTATTTTATATGTTATGTGCCTTGTGAACCACTAAGCAGAGAGAGAAAAGTCTTTTAAAATTGTGGCAGTGAAGCATTCTAACTTACTTGAAGCCACTGGCATTTGACATGCAACCCTGCAGGAATCATTATCAGACGGATGGCAAACAGATACGCTGCAGAAAAGGTACACCTAGAAAAGATATAGCATGAGTCCTTTAACAGAGTAGACCAACCTCAATCTTGTCGGATCTCATTTTAGTTAATTTCAACTCACATGAGATTATAACTTCTATTAAGATATATCTCCAAAATATGTACTCATTAATGCCTTGCTAAAAAAAAAAAAAGACATCTTCAGCCTCCTTTATTTACCCAAATAAGCAAACAATGGGCAGTGCCCTAACAGTTAAGGTATTGTATATTTGCTCCATCTCTCTTTAGGTATAAGATATGCACAGCTTCCATTAACAGTTCTTTAGATAAAGGTCTCCAAGAAACAAGATTTCTTAAACAGATATGTAATAAAAGATGATCACAACTAAATATATTCGTCTCACCCCAAAATTCCCATTAAAAAATTCAGGTTAATACCCTCCAGAGATTTATTTCAGACCTGCTGCTTAGCAACATGTGTGATCTGTACTAGTATTAAAAACCCAACCACAACGTTTCTTTACTATATTTTCCCCCTTTACATTCGGTAGCATATGGTGGCACATTATCCCGTACTGTCTTAGAAGGTAATTTCATTGGAAAAACTGAACACAATAAGCAATTGCTTTGTTTATCTTCTTACCCAGCCATCTAGCACCACTTGAGGGGCAGAATCCACAAATGTGAATGTGTAAATGATGAAACGCTGGTAATGGTTAGGAAAGCGAAGATCTGATGTAGCAGGTCCCATGGGTACTAGCTGGGTTCTGTAATTGTCTCCTTCAAACGGGCACCTGGGAAGAAAATGCATTAGAAAGGCTGTCAAGACATGGCTCTTTCTCTAAGCCATGGGATTGTGATGTGTTGAAGGCCCAGTTGCATGATAATTTCATTTCTATTTGGATCTACATTTTATTATTTCATTATTATCAACTGGTTTATGTATTATGGGCTTTTAATCAGATTTGCTGAATTTTCTTGTAAGTCACCCAGAGTCACATTGGTTAAATTAGATATAAACTTGTTTTAAATAAGATAAGTAAAACATTGCCATTGAAACACCCCCCCCCCATGCTATGAGAATTAATGTTTTTCTTTTTTATTGACTTACCCATCTACTAGCACTGGCCACTGTAATTGCTCAAGGGGATTTGAACTTGGAGTAGCCCAGCACTCATGGAGAACCAGAACTAGGGATGGGTCCAGTCTCTGTAGGATGCGAATCTCCACATGCACAGGCTCTCTCAGGATCTTCACAATAGGATACTGTGTATCTGAGTAGTATGAGGTATAGCTCGAGTCTGGGGACAAGAGGCAAAATGCGGCTGTGTGGTTTTTCAGAGAGAGAAGATGCCTAGCGGACTTGATATCAGACATTAAGGCAGATGTACCTGTGGCAATGCGCAGCTCAAGCCGGAGGGGTCCTACTTGGAAAATTGGAGCTGGGCTGGGAGGTGAAAACACTTCAACCTGAAGTGGCAGGAAATCAGTAGCATTGTAGATACAACGAGCATGAAGCCTAAATGTACAAAATACAAGAGATTTTCCTGCTAAATCATTTCCTTTGACTAGAATGTTCAAAATCAATCTTAGTTTTGGTAGATAGCTATCCTTCCTAAGGCTTTGCATTAACAAACCTCTGTTATAACCTGATTATTTATTGCAGTCTAAACAAACGTGAATCAAGCTGCACTTAAACTGTTGGATTCTTTGGAAAGAAGAGCTATGCAAGATTAACCTTAGTTTGCCAGCTATGTACTTTAAAGGCAGTCCACAACCAATCTATGCCAAAAGTGGGGAACCTTCTATAATTGGATTTCCATTCCCATTCCAATCTGCTAACGTGGCCAATTGTCTGGAAAAATAACTATATAAATCAAAAGCTAAAGAACCAAGGTCTAATATGTAAAACTTAATTTAGAAGACTAAAAATATTCATATCTTAAAACTAAACGGAGAACTATCTCATCGGTACATGGCAAGCTCAACATACATGAAGGTACTATCTCGTGTAATAGAGCCATCTGGCCCTCTTAGGATGTCAAGGCCAGAAACGAGCTGGTTTTCGTATATCAGTTTGTCACCAGTCACCTAGAAGGACAACAAACACAGCCATTTTTATATGGTCTAGTAATTAAGTCAAAGATCCTTCAAGAGCACTTGCCTGGACTGCATCCTCACCTGAATTGTTGTGCCACACTGTGTGAGAGAAAAGCGGAAGACCAGGAAAGATTCTGTTTTCCTGACTGGACCACAACCTGCTTGGGCATAGGAGAGCTTAACACTCTCCAGGATGATTGGATAATCCAACATATCCCTGGAGATTACCAAGATGAAGTAGCCATCTCGAAGGCACTGAACAGTGACTGCAACACACAAAGTGCAGAAGTTACAAGCGGAACAGATCAAGAACTCTCTTGTTGTGTGTGTGTGTGTGCGTGTCTGTTTATTTTCGGAAAAAGGCAGGAGTGATAATTCTCTCACCCAGTCTCATCATACTATTGCACACAAATCCTCTTTTTAGGAAAATGACATTTTAGTTTCAAAGCACAGCAATGGCTGGATCCCAGGCTCAGCATTAACTACTTTTTACTTTTTACCTGTGTTGCCATAGTAGCATGGAGTCGCCGGATCCATAGCATCATAACAACATCCAGTCTGATGACAAGCTGCTGGTCCTTGTACATCTGCACAGGATATTCTCCCAGAAGAAACCTGGCATTGCTGCTGAGTTAGAGGGCGACCTGGAAGTAAGAGAAATTGCATTGTTTGGGAAATTAGTCCTTAATGACTAGAAGCATGTAAATAAAACATAATGTTTTAGTCTTAATATAAGGTCATAATGTATGAGCTTAGCATCACAAAATTTTGTGATTCACGGAACAAAGAGAAGGCCAGTAATACACAAGAAACTGAAAACTGGAAGGTCTTTATACCTAAAGATAAAGACAACTAGACTTGTCCTGTGACTTGTTAGATTGTTTCAGAGATATTTCCTTATTAGATTCCTCAATGCCTTAAAAAATAGCAGAGCTTCCAATGGACATCAAGAGTTCTTAATGTATCTCCCTTGAAAGTAGCCCATGTTCAACTGTATAGCAGTCAAACATCAGAAGCTGACGTATGCAATGTTTCATGATGTCATATGTATTGTATGTATTATGTCATAAAATACTTTGATAATTTTTATGTCATGAAATGTTTTATAAAACTTGCCAAATTTCAATTCCACAGGAGTCATGGGTCCCAGATTTTGGATGTATTCTGTAAGTTAGCCCATTCGAGGTTATTTGGTTGAAAATATTTTGCCCTGTGAGGCCATTTCACCCAGTTAAAGGTTACAGACACACAGGATTTAGTAGTATATAAATAAGGAAAATAAGAACTAGAAAAGCAATATAGAGCAATAATACACACACACACACACACACACACACACACACACGTGTGTGTGTATGTATGTATGTATGTATGTATGTATGTATGTAAACACTTTCTCACCATATGATAAGACCTCCACATTCTTAAATTAAAAACATAAAGCCAGAAACCAAAGTTACTCTGGTTATGGAGTGATTGTATGTGCTTTATATTGCACATTATGATACTGGCAATAATAAACATTTTAATTAAAAGATAAAATTCACTTACCTACACTAGATTGGATGACCATTGGATGCACAGGCCCAGGGAAGGATTCCTCTGGATTAACATGGCTTGGCTGAAGTGGGTGAACAAGGTCAGGCTGGCGTGGAAAAAGCTGGCCAGGTTGGGATTCACCTGGATATACCAGGCCTGGCTGGAACTGCCCTGGATGCACTAGGCCAGGTTGTAACAGACCTGGATGCACTATGCCAGGCTGGAGTGGGCGCACCTGTCCTGGTTGGATGGGATGCACGAGGCCGGGCTGGGACTCCCCTGGGCGCACCTGTCCTGGATGAATGGGATGCACAAGGCTGGGCTGGGACTCTCCTGGACGCACCTGTCCTGGCTGGATTGGGTGTACAAGGCTGGGCTGGGACTCTCCTGGGTGCACCTGTCCTGGCTGGATGGGATGCATGAGGCTGGGCTGGGACTCTCCTGGGCGCACCTGTCCTGGCTGGATGGGGCGGAGGAGACTGGGCTGGGACTCTCCTGGGCGCACCTGTCCTGGCTGGATCGGGCGCACGAGGCTGGGCTGGGACTCTCCTGGGTGCACCTGTCCTGGCTGGAGGGGATGCACGACGCTGGGCTGGGACTCTCCTGGACGCACCTGTCCTGGCTGGATTGGGCGTACAAGGCTGGGCTGGGACTCTCCTGGGCGCACCTCTCCTGGCTGGATTGGGCGCAAGAGGCCGGGCTGGGACTCCCCTGGGCGCACCTGTCCTGGCTGGATGGGGCGCAGGAGACCAGGCTGGGACTCTCCTGGGCGCACCTGTCCTGGCTGGATGGGGCGCATGGGGTGCACGAGGCCGGGCTGCGACTCTCCTGGGCGCACCTGTCCTGGATGGATGGGATGGACGAAGCCAGGCTGGGATTCACCTGGGCGCACCTGTCCTGGCTGGATCGGGTGCATGAGACCGGGCTGGGACTCCCCTGGGTGCACCTGTCCTGGCTGGATGGGACGCACGAGGCTGGGCTGGGACTCTCCTGGGCGCACCTGTCCTGGCTGGATGGGATGCACGAGGCCAGGTTGTGACTCTCGTGGGCGCACCTGTCCTGGATGGATGGGATGGACGAAGCCAGGCTGGGATTCACCTGGGCGCACCTGTCCTGGCTGGATTGGGCGCAGGAGACCGGGCTGGGACTCCCCTGGGCGCACCTGTCCTGGATGGATGGGACGCACGAGGCTGGGCTGGGACCCTCCTGGATGCACCTGTCCTGGCTGAATGGGATGCACGAGGCTGGGCTGGGACTCTTCTGGGCGCACCTGTCCTGGCTGGATGGGGCGCAGGAGACCAGGCTGGGACTCTCCTGGGCGCACCTGTCCTGGCTGGATGGGGCGCATGGGGTGCACGAGGCCGGGCTGCGACTCTCCTGGGCGCACCTGTCCTGGATGGATGGGATGGACGAAGCCAGGCTGGGATTCACCTGGGCGCACCTGTCCTGGCTGGATCGGGTGCATGAGACCGGGCTGGGACTCCCCTGGGTGCACCTGTCCTGGCTGTATGGGACGCACGAGGCTGGGCTGGGACTCTCCTGGGCGCACCTGTCCTGGCTGGATGGGATGCACGAGGCCGGGCTGCGACTCTCCTGGGCGCACCTGTCCTGGCTGGATGGGACGCATGAGGCCGGGCCGGGCTTCTCCTGGGCTCACCTGTCCTGGCTGGATGGGATGCAAGAAGCCGGGCTGTGACTCTCCTGGGCGCACCTGTACTGGCTGGATGGGATGCACGAGGCCAGGTTGTGACTCTCCTGGGCGCACCTGTACTGGCTGGATGGTACACATGAGGCCGGGCCGGGCCTCCCCTGGGCACACCTGTCCTGGCTGGATGGGACGAACAAGGCCGGGCCGGGCCTCTCCTGGGCGCACCTGTCCTGGCTGGATGGGATGCAAGAAGCCGGGCTGTGACTCTCCTGGGCGCACCTGTCCTGGCTGGATGGGGCGCATGGGGCGCACGAAGCCGGGTTGTGACTCTCCTGGGCGCACCTGTCCTGGATGGATGGGATGGACGAAGCCAGGCTGGGATTCACCTGGGCGCACCTGTCCTGGCTGGATCGGGTGCATGAGACCGGGCTGGGACTCCCCTGGGTGCACCTGTCCTGGCTGGATGGGACGCACGAGGCTGGGCTGGGACTCTCCTGGGCGCACCTGTCCTGGCTGGATGGGATGCACGAGGCCAGGTTGTGACTCTCCTGGGCGCACCTGTCCTGGATGGATGGGATGGACGAAGCCAGGCTGGGATTCACCTGGGCGCACCTGTCCTGGCTGGATTGGGCGCAGGAGACCAGGCTGGGACTCCCCTGGGCGCACTTGTCCTGGATGGATGGGACGCACGAGGCTGGGCTGGGACCCTCCTGGGTGCACCTGTCCTGGCTGAATGGGATGCACGAGGCTGGGCTGGGACTCTCCTGGGCGCACCTGTCCTGGCTGGATGGGGCGCATTGGGCGCATGAGGCCAGGTTGCGACTCTCCTGGGCGCACCTGTCCTGGCTGGATGGGACGCACGAGACCGGGCCGGGCCTCTCCTGGGCGCACCTGTCCTGGTTGGATGGGACGAACAAGGCCGGGCCGGGCCTCTCCTGGGCGCACCTGTCCTGGCTGGATGGGATGCAAGAAGCCGGGCTGTGACTCTCCTGGGCGCACCTGTACTGGCTGGATGGGATGCACGAGGCTGGGCTGGGACTCTCCTGGGCGCACCTGTCCTGGCTGGATGGGACGCACGAGGCCAGGTTGTGACTCTCCTGGGCGCACCTGTCCTGGCTGGATGGTACACACAAGGCCGGGCCGGGCCTCTCCTGGGCACACCTGTCCTGGCTGGATGGGATGAACAAGGCCGGGCCGGGCCTCTCCTGGACGCACCTGTCCTGGCTGGATGGGATGCAAGAAGCCGGGCTGTGACTCTCCTGGGCGCACCTGTCCTGGCTGGATGGGACGCATGAGGCTGGGCTGCGACTCTCCTGGGCGCACCTGTCCTGGCTGGATGGGATGCAAGAAGCCGGGCTGTGACTCTCCTGGGCGCACCTGTTCTGGCTGGATGGGACGCATGAGGCTGGGCTGGGACTCTCCTGGGCGCACCTGTCCTGGCTGGATGGGATGCAAGAAGCCGGGCTGTGACTCTCCTGGGCGCACCTGTCCTGGCTGGATGGGACGCACGAGGCCAGGCTGTGACTCTCCTGGGCGCATCTGTCCTGGCTGGATTGGGCGCACAAGGCCGGGCTGGGACTCCCCTGGGTGCACCTGTCCCGGCTGGACGGGGCGCAGGAGACTGGGCTGGGACTCTCCTGGGCGCACCTGTCCTGGCTGGATGGGGCGCATTGGGCGCACGAGGCTGGGCTGGGACTTTCCTGGGCGCACCTGTCCTGGCTGGATCGGACGCACAAGGCCAGGTTGGGACTCTCCTGGGCGCACCTCTCCAGGCTGGACTGGGTGCACCAGACCTGTTTGGGATGCATCTGGTTGCAATAACCCAGGTTGGAGTGGGTGTACTTGGCCAGGCATAAGTGGGAGAAGTTGACCGGTCTGGGATTGCCCTGGATGCACTAGGCCAAGCTGCGACTCCCCCAGGTGCACCTGACTGGGCTGTAGTGGGAGAAAACCACTAGGGCGGGACTGCCCATGGTAAACCTGGCCTAGATGGGACCCTCCTGTTTGCACTAGAGCAGGTTGAGGCTCTTTCACATGGCTCATGTTGTTCTTTGGGGTTGTGACATGCTCCTGTGGCTTTGGGCAGATCATGTTGATGTCATGAGCAGCAAAGACTCTTCGGTTCCTTGTTAGTTCCTCTAAACGGATCTTCAAATGATGTGTGCCATCCTAGGAAAATGTTAATCCAAAATGTTAGAATAATATACTACAGCTGGCTTATATTGTAACTAATGACTTTTTTTGTTCGTGGTCAGCACTAACAGAGTAGGTAGTGCTGACCACAGTAGTTCAGCAACTGCTGACAAGTACAACGGTGCTGAAAAGGAGACTTGTGACTGGTCCTCAAAGTTGTGGCTATCGCAGAACCCCATAGTCATGCAACTGCAATTCAGGTGCATGACAGCTGGCTTGCATCTATGACAGTTGCAACGCCCCACAGTCATGTGATCACAATTTGTCACCTTCACAGCAGCTTTTGACAAGCAAAATCAATGGGGAAGCTGGCAGGGAATCACAAGTTCCAGTCAGATGACATCACATCATGCTAAATGGCCCATAAAGATTTGCTAATGGCTGCATCCGGAAGTGCTGTCGCAAGTCAGCATGGTCACGTGATATTTCACATTACAAGTGTGCCACTTAGCCACCCGCTAGGGCAAGCGTCTTCAAACTTGGTCCTTTTATGACTTGTGGACTTCAGCTCCCAGAATTCCTCAGCCAGGGTGCCTGCGCTAGGGTCATTAACCAAGAACTACCTGCCATTCATCTTCGAGGAGTAAAGGGGTAAAAAGCATTGAATGATTTGGTGGATTAAGCTGTCTTTATCAATAAGAACTATTAGTTAGAACACTTTATTGAATCAGATGCTTTTCAGAGGTACTATATCAATTCCTAACTCCTGTAGCCAGTAGGGGAGTTGTCACAGAATATTGTTAAAGTAGGACCAATACACAAGTCCCATATTCAAAAGCTCCTTAAGTTAGTTGGCAAGCTAATCTTAGAAATAATGGGCGTTATTACATCAATTGCTCTGCTTCAGCCAGTTATTCTCAGAAAATGTTTTAACAGTAAAATTGGCAGGGACCTCTCCCGTCTTTTAGCTTGCAAGAATGGAATTTCCCTTCCACTGATTTAACACAACTTGTTTCTGTTTATAATATGTGAATAAAGGGAGCCTAAAGGTGACCTGTAGGTCCTATAATGTAGGCCAGACTAAGAAATTCTGAATAGTCTGAAACATAATACTATAGTAACAGAATTCCCCTCCTTCACTTTACCTTGATGCTAATTAGGGAGAAGGTTGTCTGACATGTTTTCTCCAATTAAATTAAATTAAATTAAAATGGACTCAAGCCCTGCTTGTCTGCTTTGGTAGCAACTCTAACTTCTGTGCTTCAGATATTATTCCCTATGCTTTTTACATTGCTCTTGAATTTGTTTGGAAAAAAATGCAGACCCAGATGTCTACATAAATTATATTTCTGCCTTTCCCAGTCTGGGACCTTGCAGAAGTTTGGGAAGGCAGTTCTCCTAATTTCCAGCCAATATTGTTTTTTGTTGGTGCAAATTTAAGCCAAAAATATCTGATGAAGAAAGATTGGGAAAAACTCTTCTAAGTAGAAATTCAGAAATACAATATAAGTCTACAGCTCCCCCCCTCCCAGCATTTTCTAGTGAAGTCTCACCTTCTTTATTACATGGCATCCACCATAGCCAACAGACAAGGCAATAGTCCTATTATGTGACGTGATCCAGTGATCACAGCTAGAACAGTTGGAAACTTCAAAGATTCTCCCGGATTCATCTGTTGACAAAAGATTAATGCATTAACTAATAAATGCTATTTATCCAAAAAGATTCCAAAGATAGTAGCGTTAATAGGCTCTGCAAATATGTCTTCTTTGGATTACTTACATGGTCTTCATAACCGCACCACACCATTACTGAAGAGATATAAAGGCTAGAAGCAGATTAAAGAATTTCTGAAATTTGTGTTTGTTATAGATTCCATGGAATCTTTGAGTTTCCTCTACAGTACAGTTAAACAAAAACAAACTTTGGATTACAATTTACAGAATTCTCCCCAATAGGCATACCAAGAGGAGAATTCTGGGAGGTTACAATAGTCAAAATTTAGTTTGTTTGTTCTTATGGCTAATCCCAGCCATGAGGATTTGTAAATCATAGTTCATTGTATGAACCAACCAATTATAGTTTATTTGATAAACCTCATTTAGGTAATCCAAGTTTACAATATGTGAATTAAGACATAGTCTCTAAGCTGACATTCTTATAGGAGGCATTCATCTCAAAGCAAATTCTGCAAGAATTAGATGCTAGATTAAATTATATGAAGAAAGGAACTACAGAAATCTTAGCAAGTCATAGCAATAAGCTTCATTTTAAAAGCCAAGTTTTGCCAATAGCTTTCCTGGCTTTACTTTTCTAAACCTCCAATTTTACTCCCCAAGGATTGCGGACTTCTTACACACTCATACAAGTTGCTAATCTTTCCTAGTGTTCTAATTTCCTTGTTTGTAAGATTTCCTGCTCCTATTAAATATTTCACACCAGATTATCTAGCCAAAATTATATTAGAAGAAAGCTGCTTGTGAACCATGGATTGCCAATAGCTTGTTTTTCCCCTGCTCTTTTTACTATAATTGTTTCTGAAAATCAGTGTAGGGCAATTAGCATGTCATATAAGACCCAGGGCAATGTGGGTTTAAATCCCTCTAACCACAATACTCTCTGGGTGACCCTAACCAATAAACAACTGAGAATAACATATGAGAGGTGAAAGAAGGCTTAAGGTTATGCCTTTTAATAAAGTTTGTTAGTGAGGAAATGTTGCCAGGCTCCTTCAGACTGTTGGCTTCTTTAAACCAACATGGCTCTCCCTCCTAGAACATCAAGTTGTTAGGAAAACCTACATCTATTCTAACCTGTAGAAATGGCAACTAGGTATTTTGAGTCAACTTTATATCAACTTTCCACTCACAGGGAGAAAATTGACTAGCTTCCTTTTGCTTGGTAGTACAGAATATATAGGCATAGCCACCACACCCACCCTAAAATGAGTTACTATGTGTTGTAAGCATAAAGTCCCCTACAGCCACAAGTGTCCTCTTGTTACAAGAGATGTTACGACTCCAATTTAGTATTTTGCAGGAAAACAGACTATTGTCCTTACCCAAAACTTTAAGTTGGACCTCTTGGCCATGACTGGAGAACACAAGCAATTGCAAACCATGGACTCCACAGTTATACCGATACTGGATGGCTTCAGTGTCACCTTTCCAAAGGTCTGCTTGCCCGTGACATAACTTCAGAATCACCAGGATTACTAAACCTAGAGAGCCACTACAACCCCACCCCATGGTTGTAGCGGCCAAAAAAACAAATGCTGCACCAGCAAGCTGCTATTGCTGGTAAAAACAGGAGGGAGGGAGAACTGAAACTATAAAAGAGCAAGGGTGGAGATGGATTGGCTGAAAGGAAAATTCAGCCAGCAGTGTCTGCAGCTGGGGATCTGCAGAGGCCAAATGAGGGACAGGGTCAAAAGAACAAAACTCAACCAAAAAAGAAACATACACAATATTCATCCAATAAGCACTTCCCTCCCAGTTTTTTCTCTCATCCATTCTTAGGCTGGGCTGGTAAAAACAATTCATGTTAGAAATTATTGCTGATTAGAGAATGAAACAATCCCACACATACTAACTTGGAAGCCAGTTTCACCAAATTATTAAGTAGGGCTATCTAAACTAAGTTTTGCATAGACTTTAGTAGCAGGTGTTCTGTCATAGTAGTTCTTTACATTTTTTTTTCTTATGCTGCCCCCTTTTCTGAGACTGCATGCTTTCATTTTCTCTGAACTTTTTAGGGCAAATAGAAATTTAGCAAGATAGGAATAGCTTCTCCAGTTGAATTTCATCCTATTATACACCACAGTTTTTTAAAGAAAAAATACACTCTAGAGGCAAACCAGAGATTTGTTATGAAAGGTGCAAGTTTAATTATTTTTATGATGTTTATAGGATTTTTAAAAAAGAAATTAAACAGCCTGCACTGTTATAATGTACAGTTATCCTGTTCAAAGTACTCCACACCATGCTTCTTGTCACCCATAGCTTTCCATATTTCTTCCTCTTGAGCACTAATGCCTGGGATAATCTGGGATTAGGCAGTTTTAGGTTTCATACCCAATTTTCTCCTTTTCCTTGAATCTTTTTTTGTCTTTCTGCAAACTTTCAAAGTTTGCAATCTGCTCATTCCTCCTTTTTGTGATACACAGAGCCCAAAGATTGGAAGAAGAAAATATTATTAGCTCTGAAATGAAATAAGTGTTTCAGCCTCTATTTTTTTTACTGGTAGGATGTTGTTTACTGTATTCCTTCCAGTACATATTCATGGTCTAGGGTAGTGTGAAATACTGTCAATAAGTCTAAAAATAACTGAGTTTTGGCCAGGTAAGTACTGTTACTTGTAATCAAATAGATAGTAAAAGAGCAATTTGAAGTGTTTGTATTGTCAATTTTACTTCATAGCAAAACTACAAGAGTGACCCAATAAAATATATTTTCATGTCAGTGACAATAACTGGAGACCCTCTGGGAATATTTTATAATCTGTACCATTTGGGGATATGGTCACATCACTTACTTTCTAGTTTATTTTGCTTTTCTCTGCCTTATTCTAAGTTGCATTAACTTTAATGTTAAACTTAATTCCATCCTGACCCTAAACATGTCTATACCAATAAAACATCACTGAGGTAAATGATCGCACTATTTCCATTTAATATGTCTGGTATATTTGTTCCAGTCATGATTTGGGTTGCAAAAATGCAGGTGACCACTAGATATGTGGCTAAAAGCTTAAATGCTAATAAACACAGTTGTAATTACCACCAGAGTTTCTAACGTTCTTAAAGAAAGGAGGATTCAAACTTTGGAAAAGATGGGCAAAAAATTAATGTTGAAAAAGGAAAAATGATCACCTTCTCTGGAGGAAATTTTCAGGTGTGAGAGAAAAGACATAGATTTACAGCATGAGAGAGTTATACATATTTCCCATGATCCTTGCATTTATTATCACAATGTTCTCATTTCACCGCATGTCCGCTCATACATAGTTGGATTGTTAGATTGTTTTTTCTACAATGTGAAGTCACAAGGGATGAAACATTCTTTCATTTTAAATATTGCTACTAGGAACTTCCAACCATCACTATCTATAGTTCCGCTTCTTCTCAAATAATGTGGGGCTAGAATCTGGTGAACTTTTACATGTCTGTTAGTTATGTCAGACTTCTACTCTCCAATGCCTTTCCTGGGAAGTGAGTCTGTTAAACTTATGTGGAAATGGATCTTGCTGAAAGTTTTTGGAAGCAGGGACCATCGATCCAATTATGCTGTACAGTACTAAAGATGCCCTTTTTTTTTTTGGAGTATTGGTAATTCTTCCACAACTTTGCAAAATTTCAGAATTTCCAGTGTTGCTTTCAAGAGTCTGCTGCTTCATAAATCAATGACTGCAGAGTGAAATAATCATATTCTACCTCCCGAGACAAGCCAACACTTTCAGAGGAATTAAACTTCTCTAAGTGCCAAATTTAATTTGAATGAAGGAATATGTTTGCTTTAAGAAGTTTCCATTAAGAAGTTAATCAGATTATTGCTGGCTTTTGTTGTGGATTCGTGGAAACTGCTTGCTAATTTTTTCCCCAGGTCTGTTTCTTTTTTCCAGAATGCAACTGTTGCGTCCTTGGCGGGAAAACAGACACGAGAAGCGGCTGGAGTTCTCAGGTTCTTTTATTCAGCGTTCAGCTTACAGGAAGATGGCTTCAGCTCAGCCCAAACGCCTCACAGCCTCTTATATAGGCAACTCCCGGGTAAATGGGTTACTTTTCCCGCGCCAGCACCCGCGCATGCGCACGGCGCTGGCGACAGCCTGTCTGGTCCCGGGCAGCTTTGCACCTGCCCGGGACTGCCTGCAAACGCCCGAGCCGTTTGCAAGGCTCGGGACATAACACCCCTTTCCCCCGGGCTAAAACTACTATCAACATACAACATTTATTTTACACGACAATTTGCTCCCCAGTGTTCCCACTGTTTACTGGCTTCTGTCTTGCCAACAATGTTATGTAATCTTCTAGGTACTTAGGAGATTTCTTTGCTCTCTGTGACCTTCTTAGCTCTGGGTTACTGGCATAAGTCCCCTGACTGGAGGGAGGCATGAGCCTGTTCTCTCTACTGTGCCCTGGTGTCTTCCAAGGACTGTGCCCCGATGCCTGGCCTGCTTGCTTGCCCACCGGGCTCGTCAGGCCAGGGCTTCTGTTGCTTTGTGACCTGGTTGTCCTACCTAGCTGTAGACCCTCAGGCCCCTTGAAGTGATAGCCACTGCTGGGCGTCTCTGTAGAACCCCCTAGGTCAGTCCAAGACCTGTCAGGAGGCTGTCTATTCCCTGAACCCCATTCTGTGTTTGGGCTCGTGTGGGTTTCTGTACTCTCCCAAAACTCAGGTGTCCCCTGATTTGTGCTAGGGGTGTTGTAGTCGGGACTTGGTTCCTCGACTAGCTCTGTGTATGTTTGACCCCCTGTAGGATTTGGGGTAAGGTCAGGCCAACCTTGGGCATTGTGTGCCAGCTCTCTTGCGGGGAATGATTTGTTGGGATGCCCCCGGGTATCCTCCGTTGCTGGAGTGCTGTGTGCTGTGTGTGGAAAGTGAGTATGCCCCCGGGGTAACTCCCTGGCTGGAGTAGGCGTGAGTGCCTGTTGTGTGGGTAAGCTCCAAGACTTCCTTTTCGGAGCAATTGCAGAACCTTGGGACGAGCCGTTTGTGGCTCCCTCAGTGGCGATGGGCAGTAGCTCTTGCCCTTCCCTTTGCTCCAAAGGGTCCCCCTCCCCCCCTGGAAAAGACCCAGGAGTTTCAGCAGAAAAGTCCCGCCTAGAGCGGAGTTGGTCGATGTGCCGACGCAGGACACGACCGTTGTCCAGGGCAACCTCGTAGGAGAGAGGACCTGTGATCCTGGACACAGAAGCGGGGACCCATGTATGACCAGGCCCGTAATTGCGAGCCCAAACCGGGGCACCCACAAGTAGTTGTCTAGGTGCCCTAGGATGTGAGGTAGATGAAGGCAGTCTGTCCGGATGCAACCGGTCAAGTCTCGTAGTAAGTTGGCGCCCCCAACGAAGTTCAGCTGGACTTCTCCCTGTAGAAGTGGACGGTGTGGTGCGATAAGAAAGGAGAAAGTCAGCCAACCTGTGATGCCAGTCCCCGTAGGTGAGTCTCTTCAAGGCGTCCTTTGCGATGCGCACCATGCGTTCAGCCATACCGTTGGTGGATGGGTGAAAAGGCGCAGATGTGGCATGACGAATCAGGTTTGCCTGTAAGAAAGCTTGGAATTCGGAGGAGGTGAATTGAGGGCCGTTGTCAGACACAATGACATCTGGCAGCCCGTGTGCAGCAAAAATCCCCCTCAGTACCTGAATAGTCTTTGCAGTGGTGGTGGACGAGACAGGCACAACCTCAAGCCATTTTGAATGGCTGTCAACAAGGACCAAGAAGAACTGGCCCTGAAAGGGCCCAGCGTAGTCAATGTGCACCCTAGACCATGGGGACTGTGTTTCCTCCCATTTATGCACAGGAGCTTGGGGCATCTCTGGGCGAGATCGTTGGCACATGTGGCATGCGTGTACCTTAGCCTCAATATCTTTATCTAAAGCAGGCCACCACAAGTGGCTGCGTGCAAGAGCCTTCATACGAACAATGCCAGGATGACCCTCGTGGAGGGATTCTAAGACCCTAGTCCTCATTGAGGTGGGAATGACAACTCTGTTTCCCCAAAGCAAACAACCCTGAGAAAGGGACAATTCGTTCCTTTTGGACCAGAAACTCTGAAACTCAGGACTAGGGCAGTGCTCAGGCCACCCGGACAGGACCCAGGAGCGGACACGTGAAAGTGTGTGATCTGTACCTGTTTCAGCGGTAACATCCCTGGCACTAAGAGGAAGCTCGGGCAAGGCTTGGATTGATAGAATGTTGACAGCTGGCGCGGGGTCAGCTTCTACTACTGGCAGAGGCAACCTACTGAGGCCATCAGCATGGCCCATTTCTTTCCCAGGCTTGTGGAGTAATGAAAAATCATATGCAGACAAAAAAATAGACCACCTAAGCATTCTAGGGGAAATGATGTGGGGAGTCTGCTTACGTGTGGTAAACAGTCCCAGCAGAGGCTTATGGTCAGTGAAGACCGTGAAATGCCTGCCATATAGAAAATCGTGGAATTTTTTAATTCCAGCAACAACAGCCAGAGCCTCCCTGTCTATCTGAGCGTAGTTGCGCTCGGCAGAAGACAATGTTCTGGAGTAGTATGCAATAGGAACCTGAGT